AAAAATCAGCTTTTGGTTTCGTTGATCTTCCTTATAATTCTCTTGTTCTCAATTTCATTTAGTTCTGCTTTGATCTTAGTTATTTCTTTTCTTCTACTAGGATTGGAATTGGTTTGCTCTTCCTTTTCCAGTTCCTTGAGTCTGTTTATTAGGTTGTCGATTTCTAAGCTTTCTGTTTTTTGGATGTGAGCATTTATTGCTATTAGTTTTCCTATCAGATATGCTTTTGCTGTATCCCACAGGCTTTGATAACTTGTTTCTCTGTTATCATTTAGTATTTCCCTCTGTATTTCCTCCTTGACTCAATAGTTAGTCAACAATAAAATTTTCCTGTTTCTTAAAAGCATAAGTATTAAGGAAATACTTTGAGAGACATATATATGCAATGATCATAAGGTAATGTATTCTGAGAGTTTCTACCATGTTCAGTATCCAAAACTATATATTCAAAAGTATTTCCAGTATTCAAAACTATGTTTTAACACATAAATATTCAAATGTTTTTAAGCATGCAAAACTATATATATATGTTTGCCTACCCAATTTTCATTTTATTTAACCAACATGCAAATAATGATCTGATCCTTCAGTTTTACTAATGATTTAAAGACATATAATAAGTAGTTTAGATCTGGTTTTATTTTTATTTATAACAGACTTATTTTTAAAGTGAGGTGTGATAACATATTTGAACACTTTTCAAATCTTTCATATAAGAAAATTCTGCCACACATCCAGCATATTTTGGTACAAAAGTTACTATTTTGGAGGCCAGCTTTAGAAAAGATTAAATAGCTAGACAGAACCAAAGTAAGCAAGCAACTTCAAACTGCAGGTATTTTTAATTGTTTTCAAAGTTTTAGAAAGGAATTTTAAGAACATTGTTGATGATCAAGCTAATATGAATTGCTTTTATTCTACTCATTTCTACCGTTAGGCATGGTATTAAGCATTTTTAATGTTTTTTTTTTTATATTTGAGAAAAATATTCCCATTTTAAAGCTTAGGAAACTGAGGGTTAAAAAGGAAGTAATTTTCTCAAGTTTATCCCATTAATAAGTAGCGGAGGTGGGATCGATTTGAACGCCCAAGGTCTGATGACCCCTAAGCCTGATCAAAGCAAGTCTCTACCTCTTTAGAAATAGACATGTTTATTGCTTTCGGTTGTCTTCCTCCCTTTCCTTTCCTTTCCCTTTCCTTTCCTTTCCCTTTTTCTTTTTCCCTTTCTTTCCACTTTCCTTTCCCTCTTTCCTTTCTCCTGTATCCCTATCCTTTATTTGCTTCTGATTTAACTTAATGCCATGAAGCCAAGAAGATATCTAAAGAAGTCCTTGGTAATTGATTGTAAAACATCCATCTATTTCAAGAACACACCTGAGATTTATTCTTACATATGTACATAATCTAGTCCTAGATATATAGTATAAACTTGTTGATTTTTGTTTATTGAAGTTGAGGGACATTATGACAAAATACTGTCTTCCTCATGACATGACTCTCTTTTAATTTGCAGGTATTAAATGCACAGAGAGCAGGATACAAAGCAGCCATAGTTCACAATGTTGATTCTGATGACCTCATAAGCATGGGATCCAACGACAGTAAGTACAGGTATCACTTTTCTTCTCTCCTGTTTGACAGATCATTTGAAACTAAAAATTTAACAGGATTTTCCCTCTCGGGAAAATTTTATTCACAGTAGAGGTGGAAGTGACTTGTTCTTTTCTTAATAGTTTTTCTTTTTAACGTATGTGTTTTATTTATTGACATTTTGGTAAAAACTAAAGGGGATAAAAGCCTTAAATAGAGATAAATATGCTGAGTTAAGAATGCTATAGAAGAATTTTTGTGATTTATTTAGAGATTCACAACATTAAATTTTAGATATGCAGATATATTCAGTAGCTACTGTAATCTGGTGGAATTTCAAAGCCACATACTTGTGCATTCTTATACAGCTATTAGTCCCTTGACATACATTGTCATATCGATGGTTTTTCATTTAAAATGGATATATATTTCTTACTTTCTACTAAATATTAGCTTGTTGGGAAAATGAGCCAATTTTAGTGAAATAACTGCTGTAATCAGACAACTCTTAAGCTGTGTGTTTCACTTAATGTAGTTTCTGTCACTCAGGGTACTGTAAGTTTTATCAAAGCCTTTGTAATTGCAACTAAGATGATTCACTGCCAACATTCATGAGTAGATCTTTTATTTTGGTTTTTCTTTTCATACATAACCATAATATCTTTTGCTGCTAAGTTCTGTTGATTCATATATGCAAAGTAGAGCTTACAGCAAATAGTAGTTTTAAAGCTATGGACTGATATAACGCATTGGAATATATTTAGGACTTTAAATAACTACATCCTCAATAGGAAATATTTTATATTCCTTGACCAAAAAGTCTTCTTTTTATAGCTTAAAACAGTGTTTTTTGTTGTTGTTTGTCCTTCTTACTCTTAATATAATGAGGCAAAATTATATTAGAAGTAAAATTTGAGTTCCTTAATTAATTTCTTTTATATTTTAAATTATTATTTTAATCTCCTAGCTGATTAAATCTTCATGATTGTAGAATCCATGAAGTACCCTTAAGAATTTCTGGCACTTCAGGAACAGTTTGACAACCACTATGTGGGAATTATAGGACTACTTGATGAAGAGAGTTTACTTACTAAATAAACTAGTAATGTTGGAACTGCAGATTTGATACATTTTTCTTCTCCTTTAACTACCTTGCTTTAAAAAAAATATGTTATTCCACTTAATATATTCCAGGTCAGTAACTTTTGTGATCTGTATACATTACCAGCAAAATAGAAAGCACACGTATGCTGGAAGTAAACAGGTCTGAATTCTAATTCAAGCTCCTATTTGTATCAGCCGTTTAACTTTTAGCAGGTTCCTTACTCTTTGTGTATTTTGCTGAAGGCCTAAGCCCCAAGCCCCAGGATTTCTCTCTCAAGGGCTAAATATGTTTTGTGTTGAACAAACTGAATATTATTTGTAAACTATTTACTCTTTTGACATGTTTTCAATAAAAAATTTGCAAGCTGGAATTGTCAGTTCCCTTTAGCACCTATTTTGTTTCTGTATTAATAATACCGTAAAACTTTTTTGTGATAGTCATGTCAGTTCCTAAGGAAAATGTGCTAAATATTAAAAGTAGCACATAACCATAAAATCCTGTTTTTGCCATGGAAATGTTGCAACTGAGTTGTGATAGTTCAAAGATTGCTCAGAATTTGGTTCTTGACTTCAGTGCTTGGATTAATTTCTGTGGTATTTTGCTCCATCCTTGGGCGTGTATATGTGTTTAAATATTTCATACGTCCAGAGACAAATGTTGGAAAGCTCTTTACCATTTTCATCTTTGCTGTTACTTGGTAGGGAAAAGGAAAGCATGGATTTATCCAAAGGGGCATGTATCTATCCCTCTTTTCAAGGCTTAATCCCGAGTTACAAGGAATATTGGTGTTCTCCCAAGAGTGGAGATTCTAATGCCTGGAAACAAAAGAAAGTCTTAAAAGCCCCTTGCTACCAACACAAGAAACGTGTCCATTGTAATTTTAGCCAGGAGACAGAATGAGTTGACTCAGTAAGCCAATAACATTCTTTGTCTTCAGAAGGCAACAGAATGTGGTAGGAAGAATACCACTTCAGAACCAGGATATATGGGTTTATTCCAGGCTAGTTGGTACAAGAACTAGCCTGTACCCTTGGGAAAGTGACTTAACCTTTGTCAGCCCATTATTTCCATTTACAAAAGTGCAAATAATTTTAATTTCTATTTGACCTGACAAATTTGTGAAGATCATATGAGAGAAGGAGTATGAGAAAACCCATGCCATACTAGAGTGGGAAGAGCCTTAAATAAGTAGTTGAAAGCCTCAAGTTTGAGTCCAGGCTGTGCATGTTTCTAACTGTATAACCAGGGCAAGTTATCAATATTTCTTTGTTTCTTCTCCTTTTTTCTTTGATTTCTTCCTTCAACAAATATTTTTTAACAGCCTACTCTGTACACTGTTTTAGGCACTGTGACTATAGCAGGGGATGATATAGTCAAAGGCTCTGCCTTCGTATCTTTCATTGAGGTAGTAGAGCATAGTAGTTAAGAGAGTGCTTTCTGGGTACTGCCTGCCAAGGTTTGAATCCTAGTTTCACCACCTAGTAGCTATGTGACCTTGGGTACATTACCTAGTATCTTTGCACCTTCTGATCTGTGAAATGAGGATGATAATAGTACTTACATCATTGAGTTGCTGTAAAGATTGAATGAATCAAGACCTTAAGCATCTAGAAAACCTGATTCTTAGCAATCATTTAATGGTTATTCAACTATTAATATTGTTATTTTATTGCATTCTAGGGTCGGAGAGAAAAAATGAATCTATAATCAGATGTGCTATAATATCAAGTAGTGATAAGTGCTGTGAAGAAAAACTTATCAGGCTAAGGGGATAAGAATGACAGAGAAGGAAGGTGGCTATTTTAGGAGGGTGGTCACAGAAGGCTTCTATGAGGCATTGAGATTTGAGCACAAGGCTAAAGTAAGACATGGAGTCATGCAGATTTCTGAAGGAGGAATGTACCAAGGAGAGGGAACAGAAAGTGCAGAAGCTCAAACATAAAACATGCTTGGTGTTTCCAAGGTGTGGCAAAAAGCCACAGTGGCTGAAGGAGAGTGAGCAAGGGAGAGAGGGACAAGGGATGAGGTTAGAGAAGGAGCCAGGGTCCAATCATGGTGGGCCTTTCCGGCCATGATAAGGACTTTGGAATTTATTCTAAACACGTTTTAAACAGGGGTGTGAGGTGATCTGACATATTTTAAAAGGAGCACTTTGGCTGTTCTTTGGAGAGTAGACTGAAGGGTAAAAAATGAGCAAGAATGCCAACAGATCATTTAGAAAGTTACTGTAGCAGCCAGGCAAGAGGGGGCTTGGAGTATTACAAGTCAAGGTGATGAGAAGTGGTGGGATTATGGATATTTTTTGAAGTTGATAGGGTTTGATATAGGGACTAAGGGAAAGGGAAGAGTTGGGGATGACTCTTGGATGTTTAGGTCAAGAAACTAGGTCATGCTATTTACAGAGACGAGAAAGAGTAGAATTGATTGAGGGAAAAGAGACATTAAGTTCCATCTGAGAAACGTTTAGTTTGAAACATCTGTTAGGCAATCAAATGGAGATACTGAACAAGCAGTTGGACTTATGAATCTGGAGAGGTTGGGCCTGGCCATTCAAATTATGATTTGTCTATGATATATGATAATATTGTTTGGCAGTATATACTTCACAGAGATGTTTTGCAGATCCAAATTAAGATTTAGTGTTTTTAAAGTATTTTGTGAACTAGAAAATGTTTGGTTTTTTGGTAGATAAATAATTTTGCAGTCTCCAAGATGGCTACTCATATTTGCATATAACATTTTCCTCTTTTTCTTAATCATTTTACTAAAGTAAGATGCTTTCTACATCTCTTTAGATATCCTAACTCAAAGAAGTGCATTGCTGCCAGTAATTATAAGCCAACAGTTATGAGCCAAAAGTTCCTCGAGTTTATAATAGTATCTTCATGAAAGAATAAAGCATTTTACAATGTGTATATAATTCCAGGTTTTAACTATCAAATAAAATAAATTTTAAACTGATACGTGGTAGAGAAAGATCTCTTAGTAAGATAGGCAATATCTCCCTAAGATACATATAGTTCATTAATACCTCTGCAGCTATTAAAAATGAGATAAGACCAGGTACAGTTGCACCTGTCTGTAGCCTACCTACTCAGGAGGCTGAGGCAAGAGCACCACTTGAGTCCAGAAGTTTGAAGCTATAGTGTGCCATGTTAGCAACTGTGAATAGCCACTGCACTTCAGTCTGGGCAACACAGTAAGACCCTGTCTCTAAAAAAATAAAAAAAAATGATGAGATAGATTTATATTTATTGACATGACAGAATATCTGAGGAATATCATAAAGTGTTAAAAAAACTTACATTTTTTTCTATTATATGATCCCATTGATATATGAAAGATAAAATTTTAATTGATCACATTGATATAAAAATAGTGATTTAGTATTCCTGACTAACCATTTGGTTTCTGCCCTCTTGGGGCTTTGGGTTTACATTGTTGGGGGGGTGGGGGAGAAAGAAGAGAGGGAAAAATAGAATGTGTGTGGGATTGGATGTTTATATTTGCATAAAACAATTTGGAAGTGAAAAAAACTTACTCTACCAAGGATATCAAGATTTAAAACTTGTCTTCATAAGGATGAAAAAAACAACAACAACAAAATAGATCAGTAATTGCTGAGATTGAGGAGAGGGGTTGATGGGGAATGGGGGAATTTGGGGGGGTGATGGAACATTCTATATCTTAATTGTGGTGGTAGTGGTTGTAATTGCATGTATTTGTCAAAACTTACAGAACTTCAAATGTTTATTACTTCAAATGAAACATTTGTCTTTGGGTGGGAAGGATTATGGTTGTGTTTTGTTTTCTTTTTCTTTGCTTACTCTATACGCCCCCCCCTTCAAAAATGCATAATGAATATGCATTGTTTTTAAAATACAGAATGAAGTTATTTTGAAAACTGTAACAAAAGAAAACAAATGGGCTTTCTCTAAAGAAAATCTTTAGAGAAAAATCAAATCTGCTAAATTAAACTCACAGCTAATAATAAGGCTGCTTTTCTATTAGCAACATTAAGAGGATTGTTCTTATTTCTGTTGTTGAGTAACGGGTAATTTTTTACAAAATTCTTTTAGGGTGGCATTTGATTTTGGTTTTGAATAAGGTATAAGAGTCAAATTTCCTAAGATACCAATCAAAACACAAAGCTTTACCATGAACTCCAGGTTTAAGAGGAAGTAGAAATTTACCCAGCTTTCCCCACGATATGCCCTTTCTGAACTCCTGTTAGCCTTTCACTCGGGACAGCCAGAGATGTGTAGTGTTATTTTTCAGACTGTTGTAAAATGGTCTTTTCTTACACTGTCTGGCTTATACATCTCTTGGAAATGGGTATGTAAAAGAAGTTTTTCTCTTTTTCACTTAGGAGTTAAGTTATGTAGGGGAAGAAAACATAAAATTTCTTCCTCATCTTCCTTCTCTAACAGTTAAAGTCATTTCTACAGAGGAATAAATCCAATGGAAATATTAAAAATAAAAATTATGTCTCAATCTCATAAAACTATTCAGAGAATTGAAGTAATGTATATGTGCAGAATGTTAGCTTTGTTATCGTAAATGTTACAGTGTTTCTCAACTACTTTGATGATGAGTATAAATCTGTAATCTGGAAAATCAACAAATTAGACAAATTAAAGTTGATTGTAATTGTTTCCAGTTGCATTTGCTGCTATTGTGAAGTTAAGTCGATTGTACACTAAGTATGGGCTTTTAAGAATAATTTTATTATTATTTTATACAGTTGATGTATTAAAGAAAATTGACATTCCATCTGTCTTTATTGGTGAATCATCAGCTAATTCTCTGAAAGATGAATTCACATATGAAAAAGGGTAAGTAATGGATATAAAAAATAATCATGTAGCTTAAAATTCTTTAATATTAGTTGTAATCAAGATTATGGTTTAGAATGAACTCTGTTGTGCTAAACTATTTTTTTAAGTCATTATGATTTTGACTTACTGCGTTACACTGTTTTTTATTTGTATGATTATGTATTGAAATATATTCATGCTAGAGAGAGTAAAGCTAAAGTGATAACAGAACTTCCCATTTTACTGGGAATATCAAACCACTGCTATTTAAAAACAATGCAATTTACATTTATATGACATTTTCTATTAAGAAATGTTTGTATATTATTAAAAAAAGTTACTTTATAAACATAGAATACAAAACAGTGTGTTAAATGACTAACTTTTACAAAGATAAAAAGTCAGTTTTCAAGTTTTAAAAGTTTGATTTAGAATGAAAACTTTTTAATGAAACTTCTCTCCAAAAATCTCATTACAAAGGTAATATATGGACTAAAACTAACTTAAGGCACAGCTGTGTCATCTAATACAGAAAACAGTACAACGAACATTTCAGAGCTTCTTCCTTGAAACAGGTCCCTAAAACATAGTGGGCAGGAACAGGTTTTTGACCAAGAGGAACAATAACAAAAATATTAATAATAAAAGCAGCTAATATTTATTGAATATTTAGCAAGTGCCAAGTACTCATGAAAGCAAGAGTTCTATATTTGCTATCCATTTAATGCTCACAAGAACCCTTGAGTGGTTGTTACTGTTACTACTTATTATCTACATTTACCAAAAGGAAACTGGCACAATGAAATCCAATACTAATTTAGGGAGAAAAGACATTCATGAATATTTGAGTTTGAAAATGCATAAAAAAGAGGACAAGATTTTCTGTTTATTGTTTTTGTCATTTCCTCCATATAATAATGATATTGAAAATAGTGTTCGTATGTTATATGCTCCGAACATTTTTATTAAGTTAAGGAATATAATTTTGGATGTTGTATCAAAAATGATATTTTGTCAGCCATGTTTGCATAGTTAATAGAGGGGAGAACTAGTACTTGGTTTTACCTCAGTGTTGTTCCCTCATTTAGAAAAATTCTGTATATTTTAATATATATTTTAAAGAGTCTTTATTTTTAATTATAAAATCATACCTTTTTAAATTAAAAAGTAATACATGCTGGTAAAATATGGAAAAATTGAAGTATAAAACATTTAAAGTAAAAGTCCTTATAGTGCTGTTCTCCAACACATACTGATGAAAAAAAGCCATTAGTTTCCCCCATATTTGATTATTCCCATTAATTAATGATAAAGTACTCATAATATTGAACCATACAATACATAATATTTTGTAATTTGATTTACTTCATATTTAGATGCTTTCCATGTTAATACAAGTCCACAAATCTCTTATCCCACCTCTTGGGGACAGATGTATTGTGGAAAAAAATTTTGTAGGTTTTTAAAAGTTGAATAACATTCCAAATAGGATTTGAGGCAGCATCCCATAGTTAAATTAATGTATCTGCAGTGAATGTATGAGTATTTTTACATGTCAGTTCAAGTTGATTATCAGATGAATTGCAAACATTTTTTAAAGCTTTTCAGTTTTCAGAATTGTGCATAGGGGATTGTAGACCTAATATATACAGATGTGCCTTATTTATCTACCTACATACCTACCTACTTCATCCTCAAGCCCCTTCCGCTCTTTCTTTCAGTGGACAGAACCAGGAAATATATATGTTTTTTAAAGATACAATAAATCATGAGTGCATACTGTTGCTTCCAATGTAAATTCAGGACTGTAGGCTTTTTACTTCATTGATCTTAAATCTGTATTTTATTCTTCCACACTGGAAGACACCAACATAATAATTTATCGTCTTTAATTCTACAATACACACACAACAGACTCAGAATACAAACACTACTACCAACATTTTAAAAAATAGTTCTTTCTCTCCTTAGGTTATGTCATAATATAAAAGGTATGTAAAGTCAAATAATTTTGCCTTAAAGACATGTGAAATATTAATTCTCTGCGCTGATGCTATCAACTGGAAACACAGTTTAATTGATTCATTTGCTTTTAGATTTTCTCCCCTCAAGTGTGACTTTTATAATTGTATATAAACTGAAAGTCAAAATCAATGAGACAATATATATTCAAAGAAGTCTATATTTTAAGTATCATCTATCCTGTCCATCTTGTTCCCATTCTTACCTTATAGGTAACAATTTTTTAAAAAAGATTTTAGTTTATTATTAAATTTGTTAAATTAAAAACATTATAGGCAAATACCTATCTTTTCTCCTGCATCTTCTACCCTTAATACATAAACACTACTCCTCATCCTGCTTTTGATTTAACATAATACCCTGGAGATCATATCATATGAGTAGAGTTATTCTTCATTTCTTTTTATAGCTGCATAGAACTCCATTTTGAGGATGTGCCAGTTTAATCAGCCAGTCCCCTATTGGTAGGCATTTGAATTGTTTACATTATTGTGCTATTATAAATAGTGCTGTAATTAATAACCTTATATATAAACATTTTCATGTTTTTGCCAGTATACTTTTGGAATAGATTCCTAGAAGTGGGATTGCTAGTTCAGAGGTTAAATGTATACGTATTTTTGTCAGATATTGTCAAATTCCCATCCATAAGTGTTGTGCTCTCAATATGTGAGGGTGTCTATTTTACCACAGCTTCACCAACGAAGTTGTTCTCAGATTTTTGGGTTTTTGCTAATCAGCAAGATGAGAAATGGTATTCTGTTTTAGTTTTAATGTGTATTTCTCTTATTACAAGCAAATTTTAACATATTTTCTTATACTTAAGAGCTATTTGCATTTTGTTTTTTATGAAATGTTTATGATTCGCTCATTTTTTCTAGTTAGATTGTTGGTTATTTTCCTATTTTTGGAAGCTCTCTATTTATTTGTTTCTGATGTATTACAGGTACTTTTTCCTATTTTGACATTTTTATTTTTCTGTGGTGTTGGTTTTTTAGTGTAATCAAATGTGTTGGTCTTTTCCTTTGGGCTGCTAGTCTTGAGTCTTAAGAAAGTTTTTCCCATTCCAGCATGATAGAAGAATTTACCCACATTTATATTAATACTTGTATGGTTTCATTTTTAACATTAAATCTCTGGCTTATTTGTAATTTATGCTATATATGACTTGACGAGTGTATTCAAGCATATCTTTCCAAATAGCCATCTAGTTATCCTAATGCCACTTCTTAAAATGTCCATCTCTATACCCCATGGGGATGCCGCTATAATTCCATCCATAATTGAGTTTTCTATTCTTTATCATTTATCTACCAATACCATGCTGTTTTTCATAATAAAGTTTTATAATATGCATTAGTGTCTGACAGAGATAGCCATTCCCTCACTCCTACTCCTCTTTTTCAGGTTTTTCCTAGCTATTCCTGCTTTTTTGTTTCTCCAAATGATTTTTTATAGTTTTTTTTTTTTTTGAGACAGAGTCTCGCTCTGTTGCCTGGGCTAGAGTGAGTGCCGTGGCGTCAGCCTAGCTCACAGCAACCTCAAACT